TTTACTTTTTTTTTTTTATATAGGGTGGGAATATAAGTTTCTATTTGTTTAATTTATAATTCTTTCCATGTACTTTTCACTTTTAATACAATTTATTTATTCTATTTTATTTTACTTTGTTTTATGAAGATTATTGTTATGAATATTATTTTATTGGTTCACTATGATTCTTTCTTATTATTCTTCTTTATTCTTGTTTCTTACTTCTACTTTTTTTCTACAGGGTGAGACAAATGTCTACCTCGTGATCAATAGATTCTACATTTTTTAAATTCATTTTTTAAGTTTATTTTTTCTGTTCAATTTTTCTGTTCAATAAAGTTGCCTTATTAATTTTATTTTATTTTTTCCAACACTTTTTTTCTTAGACTTCATATTTTTTCTTATTAAATTCGTAGTTTTATGATACAAAAAGAATTAGGGTTGTAAAAGAAACAAAATCTCGAATAAAAGTAATTTATTTTTGAATTGAAGTAAGTAATTTACTTTAGCTCGTATTTTTTTCTTTTCTTCTTTTATCGAATGATGGATAATCAATGTGCATATTAAAAAAAAAAAAAAAAAAAAACTAAGAAAGAAAAATAAGCTTAAAAAAATATCTCCGGTCTAGTTTTCTTCCAACTTTTCTTACTAACTTTTCATAAATTATTATACACACAAAAACACACAAACACCCGCACACACACATTTATATATACACGTAAGTTTTTTTGGTCTCTTATTATTTTCATAATTTATATTTTTTTTTTCCCCCTATGTGTATGTTTCCCTTAAAATCAGAGAAAGAGAAAAAGAAAAAGAGAAAGGGAAAAAGAAATAGAAAAGAAAAGTAAAGAAAATGTTTTGCCATCATTTGCTTGAAATAACGTAGACTACGAGGAGCTACAGTTTAATATAAACCTGTAATCTCGGGTTGAGACATCGTAACGTTGAAAAGTAGAAAACTACAAAAGTTCAAAAAAAAAAGTAGAAAAGAAGAAAAAAAAAACTTAAAAACCCACAAAAATGAAAAGAAAGAAATAGTAGTAGTAGTAGTAGTAATAGTAGTAATAGTAGTAGTATAAGTTGGCGTTAAGTCAAGACTTTTTGACATTTTACATTCAACAGCTGTGCAATCAGCAAACTCGATCTGCACAACTGTGGTTTTCACGTGAATACAATTTTCATCCTCAGCCTACAAAATTGAAGACAAAAAAATATAAAAAAGAAAGAAAAAATTGATAAAATCTCCTATGTTAAAATGTTACTCTGATAATGAACACTATGACTATAAAAAAGGTTATGTCAAAAACAAAAAAAGCATTTAAAAAAACAGATAGAGAAACGTTTGCATGTAAAAACAAAAAAACAAACATTTTATATGCATCAATCTAATATTATTTTTGAGATACCATTTCGTAATTTGTAAAAACAACAAATTAACGTCAGGTTGCGTCAGGGTAGTTTCAGGGTAATTTCAGGGTATTTTCAGGGTAATTTCAGGGTAATTTCAGGGTATTTTCAGGGTAATTTCAGGGTATTGTCAAGGTATTGTCAGGGTAATTTCAGTGTATTGTCAAGGTATTGTCAGGGTTGCGTCAGGGTATTGTCAAGGTATTGTCAGGGTTGCGTCANGTATTGTCAAGGTATTGTCAGGGTTGCGTCAGGGTATTGTCAAGGTATTGTCAGGGTTGCGTCAAGGTATTGTCAGGGTATTGTCAGAGTTGCATCAAGGTATTGTCAGGGTATTGTTAGCGTTGCGTCAAGGTATTGTCAGGGTATTTTCTAGGTATTGTCAGGGTATTCTCAGTGTATTCTCAGTGTATTCTCAGTGTATTGTCAGGGTATTGTCAGAGTATTGTCAGGGTATATTCAGAGTAATTTCAGGGTTGCGTCAGGGTATTCTTAGTGTATTGTCAGGGTTGCGTCAGGGTATTCTTAGTGTATTGTCAGGGTTGCGTCAGGGTATTTTCAGGGTATTTTCAGGGTATTTTTAGTGTATTGTCTGGGTATTGTCAGGGTAATTTCAGGGTAATTTCAGGGGATTGTCAGAGTATTGTCAGTGTATTTTCAGGGTTGCGTCAGGATATTTTCAGGGTATTGGCAGGGTATTTTAAATGTAAATTCAGAGTATTGTCAATGTATTTTCAAGGTATTGTCAGTGTATTGTGAGGGTTGCGTCAGTTTTTCGTCAGGGTTGTGTCAGGTTATAATCCACTAAGAAAAGAAGAAAAAAATGAGACACATTTTTCTTTTTCTTCTACTACCCTTTTTATTCCCATTTAATTCTCATAATAAAGATAATTTCTTATATCTCGCTGAGTAAAAGAAATAAGAAGAAAAAAAAAACAATTTAAAGAAGAAGAAGAAGAAGTAATGCGAGAGAAAAAAAAAAGATTCAGAGAATAAAAAGAAAAAAAAAAGGAATTATTACGAGAAGAAGAGTAGAGAGAAAAAAAAAATTAGAGCCAACGTTACTATTCAACGAATAGGAAAACAGGCTTTCGTCCATTAAATGTGTGTTCGCCTTTTATAATAAAATAGAGCAACGGGGGTATCTCTTAGGTTAGTTTTTTTTTTTTTTCAGTATTATATACGTCGTCTTTCATAAAAAAAAAAAAATAGAAAAAAAAAAGAAAAGTTTTTACAAGTATGAGAAGTGTGTTGTATACGAATGTACACTACTACCACCCACTACCACCAAGTCTTTCATTTCAAAACGGTGCACGTTTCGTGTCCTGAGAAAACCTTTCTCCCTCTCTCTCTCTCTCTCTTCCTCTCATAAATAGAAAAGAGAGGGATGAAAAATAAGGGAAGGAAAGAAGAAGAAAAAGAAAAAAAAAAAGGTTACAAGTGTATACATAAAACATACTTTACGAGGAATATCTCTGTATAGATCTTACTTGCGGTTGAGATATTAAGTTTCAACTAAATATTAAGATTTTTAAAGAAAATAAATAAATAGAAAAAAATATAAAAAAAATAATACTATGTACTTCCTACTTCTAATTACTTCTGGTTATTTCTGGTTATTTTCAGCGGGTCAAATTATGAACGATTTGAAAAACAATTTGTTGATTTTAATTGAAAGTATTAACACCTAAGAGGAAGTGTGTATGTATGTTTTTTGTTGGTTTATTTTTTGTTGCAGAAGTCGAGGTGAGATCACCTAGGTTTACGGGGTCAGGTTGGTTAGCTTTTCCTGCATTAAGAGCGGCTTACAAGCACGTGCAATTAGAGCTAGAATTTCGTCCAGAAGCATGGGACGGTGTATTGCTACTTGCTGGTGAACGAGACGATCTTCAAGGGGATTTTATGGCACTCATTTTGCATCATGGTTTCATCGAATTCAGGTAATTATTTCTTTTAATTAATATTAATATTATTTTTAAAAAACTTTATTTATTAATTTTTATTTATTTATTTATATTAGTACGTAATAATTATTACGTACGAAAAATAGTAAAGTCCTTATTTCTTTTTATAGTATATTTTTTTTATTTATTTATTATTATTTATATAGTATTATTATATTATTTATTGCACGTCTTTTTAAATTTCCTTTTCCACATTTTTAAAATTAATAATTAAATGAATTAATAAATATTAAATATTTTTTATTGCTTCAACACAAATCAAAAGAGTTATATAATTTCTTTATTTAAAACGGATTGTCAAAGAAACACGATTGATCAAAGAAAAAAATGAGTCAGGTGTTGAATAAAAAATAGAAAAAAAAAAATAAAATAAAAATAAAGACGCATATTATTCTATCAAAAGAAACTGAATAAAAAAGAACCTTAATTGTAAACTCAACACAAAGAATAAACAAGAAAAAGAGGATCGTTTACTAAAGAAGAAATATAATATAAGATCATTTGGTAGAGAATTTGCAAATATGCAAATATGCAAATATGATATACATACATACATATATATATATATATATATATGTATATTGCAAAAACAAACGTGGCAACATACATATATCCATGCACCTTTGGAAAGACACGTAAATTGAACTTTAAGTTTCATTCCACGGTGTAGAAAGTTTGAAAACCGTGGCACGTCTTTCTCGTTCTCTGAGATTTCCCGGACGCGGAATATACAAACAGAAAACACACAACATACGCAAAACATGAAAATACCTACGTGCAACATTCGTCTCTAAGAAATATACATGCATATATATGTGTATGTGTGTATGTATGTATGACATTGAGAGGCACGCGAAAGAACGAAGAGGACCAGACGTGCTTTGGCTCACACGAGACCCTCTAATACGAGAACTTATGCATAGCTTTTCCACGAGAGAATTTGCGTGTTCCAAGTATATACATACACACATACATATAGATATAGTGCACCATATAAATATATGTATGAATACCAAAGAAAATATGAGAGTGGTTTAGATGGTTGACTCATTCAAGTTGACGTGTTAACTTAACACATATTCCAATAATAAATAAATAATAAATATGTGTATGTGTTTGTGTGTTGTATTACATACATATGTTTTGAAAATAAACACTCGGTAATGTTGTCATATATTATTATGGTTGCGTCAGGGTTGCGTCAAAAAATGGATTGTACCAGAGTAGTGTCAGGGTAGTATCAGAGAAATTACTGGTTAGTTTCAGGGTAATTACACGGTTGTTTCAGGGTAATTACACGGTAGTTTCAGGGTAATTTAAGGGTAATTTCAGGTTAGTTTCAGGGTAATTTAAGGGTAATTTCAGGTTAGTTTCAGGGTAATTTCGGGTTAGTTTCAGGGTAATTTCAGGGTAATTTCAGGTTAGTTTCAGGGTAATTACTGGTTAGTTTCAGGGTAATTACTGGTTAGTTTCAAGGTAATTACTGGTTAGTTTCAGGGTAATTTCGGGTTAATTTAAGGGTAATTTCGGGGTAGTTTCAGGGTAATTTCGGGGTAGTTTCAGGGTAATTTCGGGGTAATTTCAGGGTAATTTCGGGGTAGTTTCAGGGTAATTTCGGGTTAGTTTTAGGGTAATTTCGGGTTAGTTTTAGGGTAATTTCGGGTTAGTTTCAGGTTTATTTCGGGTTAGTCTTAGAGTAGTTTCAGGGTAATTACACGGTAGTTTCAGGGTAGTTTCAGGGTAATTTCAGGGTATTTTCAGGGTAGCTTCTTTTTTAGTCGTATTTTCTATCTACTTTCGGTCTGTTTTTCTGTTTCATTACCGTAAAGGTTCGATTGTGGAAGTGGTGCTGGTACAGTTAGAAGCACACAAACTGTAAAACTCAACGAGTGGAACACATTGAGCGTCTCTCGGCATCGTTGGGACGCCTGGATACAGCTGAATCAGGAAAAACGTGTGCAAGGAAGATCGGAGGTGAGTTTGCTTCTTTTTTTTTTTCTCTTTTTTTTCTTTTTTTTTTTGTGTCTCTTGAACTTATCTTGATATGTAACACGATACACTGGTAATTACTATATTAATTATTTCGTTTTAAATTGCTGGAAATTCAGTTTTCATTTTCTTTTTTTAAAAATATGATATTACGTTATTTTTGATCAATTTTATTTAAACATTGTTTATTTTTATTTATAATTTAATTAGGTATGGTTTAAATTTATTTATATTTTTATTATAGGTATATAATATAGGTATATAATGTTTTAAATAATATATTAAGTTCGTAATTAAATTACACATTGATATATTTATAAAAACATTACCAGACTTGACATTTAGTTAATTTATACTTTTTCAAATTGGACTGATATGCAAATCTTGAAATTTCTCGTAATAACACAAAATGTATTTGCATAACTTTTAAAATAATCCATTCATATATATATATATATGTATGTATCCTCACCCCTCCTGCCCATCACTTTTTTCCTCCCCTTTTATTTTTTGTTCCATCATTTATGGTAACGTGTTTTACGAGACTACTCAATTTTTTATTCATTTTGACTTGAATGATTTATCATTTTCGTCGTTTGAAAGTACACGTGTATAAAATGTACTTGGTTTATTTTAAATAGGTAGATAAATTACGTTAATTGGTAACAGGTGAATCAATAAACTCTGTTTGGCAGAAATTCGTCCAAATTCTTTTTTCGAAAATTTTCTATCTTTCTCTCGCTCTTTCTATCTCTCTCTCTCTCTCTCTCTCTTTTTCTCTATTTATTATTTTTGTTAATTCGTCAAGGCCAATAAGCTCGTCAGTGCATTAACACACATTTGTTATTTTCGATTAATCTTTCCTTAATGAATTCAAGGATAAGATTTAAAATAAAAAAAGAAAAGGTAGTTTCAGCAATGTTAAAAGAAAGAGAATGACAGAAAGAGAATTAAAGAAATATCTGACACGAATTCAAACGAGAATATTTTTCATTCGATAATGAACAATGATTTATATCAAACAAATTTATATTTGTTCATTTTTTTTTTTGTGTGTGAGTGTTTTTGTACATTTATTTAAACTTTTTCGAACACGGAGAACAAATTTATCGGTCCGATGTTCTAAATTCAATCACAAGTATAATACATTATTATTATTATTATAAGTACTTGATATATATAATATTTCTGATACAATTATTAGAAACAACTACAACAACAACAACAAAAAGAAATAAAATATCAAAGAAAGATTTGATTTTTAAATTGACGAATAAAATCGTGATAAAAATATCATTTGCTCAACAGAAAAAAAAATGAACAAAAATTCATATAAATAATATAATAAAACGCCTAACCACCTATACCTCCTATTTTTCCAACATCTACACATACACATAGACGTACAAGTGCACGTACATATACACAAGTGTAATAAAAGTATACGAAATATAAAAGATAAAAGATAAAAGATGTTGAAACAAAAATGCAATGCAAACTAAATGAAAGAAAGAGAAACACAAGACTATATATACATAAATAAAATATATGTATATATATGTACATATATATATAAGTGGGATGAGATGAAACGTCTTGTTAATCGTCGAGTCGCGAAGTCTTTGAAAATCTCAGTGCTTTAAACGTTCCCAAAGAGAGTCCGACGTTGATTCATGAGTCGAGAAAAGCTAGCAACCAAGTACTAGAAGATGGTGGTAGGGGGTAGAGGATAGGGGACAGAAGGGGTAACTGGATAGGGGTTAGCAGTAGTTATGAACATTTTCCACTAACTTGGAAGTCAAATTTTCAATTGAGCCGCGTATTTTAAAGTCCCTTTCTCTTGAGTTCCTTTTTTTTGTTTTTTTGTTTTATTCTCACCCCCTATTTCTGACGACATTAACGTCACCCTCAATCCTCAACCCGTTCTTCCCCTCCCCCCAGCCAACTTTTACCATTTCTTTCGTTATTGGATTTTAATACAAACTCACAATGTGTTACATTTTTAAATACTATTTAAACACTTTGAAATATTCCTTTCTTTCTGTTTGAATTTCTTTTTTTTTTCTTTTTGGTTTCTCTCTCTCTCTCTCTGTCTCTCTCCCTCTCTTTCTGTACTTTTTAGCTTAATATACATATAATTTTTTTTATATATCCA